TCCTACTCGTGCGTGCTACCCGCGCGACTCCCCTCTCCGCCTACTCTTCCGAAGTGTCCCCCCCTTCTCTCCTCGTTGCGCCCAGATCGTGCCCCGGTGCTCGAGGCTCCGCGAGCATCTGCATCGCGGCGCCGAAGTCCAAGCTGTCGGTCGCTCACGACCTCGGCCAGTTCGTTGCCGCATTACCAACTGAATACGCCTTGGTTCCCGCGGTAGATTTGTAAAAAGTGAATCCATAAGGAGAAATCACGGGATCGAAAGAAAATGAAAAAGTAAAGAAACTAAACAGGAAAACGAAATCTAACTAATAAACTTAGAAGAAAAGAAAATAAAAGAAAAGCAAAAGAAATCTAACTACTAACGACCTAACCTGCCAAGTGGAGGGCCCCCGTTATAACGGAGGCTCAAGTTCCAACTAAAATACTAACAACTACTAACTCCTAATTCGTAGGTCGCGGGTTTGAGTCCCAACTATCTGAGACCGGGCAAACAAAATTAGAGCTCCCTGTCAAAAAGGAGTTAGCTCTAAGGTTAGTAAGTTTCGATCCCTGCATCCTCTGCGTAGTAATCAGCACCTGAACCTACTGAGCTAGCTCCCACTTCGAATAGAAGGGGAGCAACTCAGTATGTATACAGTAGTTGGGCCTCGTCCCACCAGTGGCCCGAGCCTGTTCCCAGGTCTTGTACGTGTGGGCGTGCTTGCTGGTCTGCATGCCCGCCTGTGTGCTTGTCGGTTTGAGTATGGGTGTGACCCGCAAGGACACTTGGTTGGTCGGAAGGCCCGAAGGGCCGATACTTAGTCGTGGCCGCGCCATTTAAGGTCGCGGCGGGGAAACAATCAAGCAGTGGGTAGGCTGGTACCTAGCCATGGCTGCGACATTCGAGGGTCGCGACAGGGAAAACACTCAAGTGGCGGAAAAAGAGGTCCACTACGCATTAAGAGCGACGGACAACACTAAAGTAGTGGGTAGGTCGGTACCACTCCACATCAAGGTAGATGCGGTGGGTACTCGACTCGGGGCCGAGTAGGGGAAGACAAAGTTGACATTTTTAGAGGTCCGGTACCGGTACGTTGACCGGTACCCGTCCATGCCTCAGCGTGTGTTGCAAATTTATCCGACGCACCATTAACTCAATCAACCCCTCGACCTTTCTGGTCGGAGGGTATTACTGCTGATCCTAACCATCCCAGCGCGCGTCATAGCAACGCGCGCGTATATTTTTCGATATTTTCTTACCGATTTTGTCCCGGCCTCAATGACCGAGGAATTCATTTCCTAGTGTCACGCCCAGGCGTGCATACCCTTTCTATTCCAGACTGGCTCCATCATGGTAGTCGACGTCGTCATCGTGTCGTATGCAAAAGCATGGCCAAATACCCTTGTAAGGGTATTTGGTCCGACACCGCAATACCCGACCCTGCTGCAGGATAGGTATGGAAGAGTAGATTGGATATGGGACGCTGGACCTGGTTTCCAGCACAATGACGCCACTTTCAAGATGTACTGTTTTGTAAAGATGTCTTTAAGGAACGCTGGACCCGGTTTCCAGCAGGTGTTGCTCCCCACCAATAGATGGAGCGGCCAGCCAGGCAAAACTGCAATCCCGGTGGTTCTCTTACCACCACCAGGATAGAGGCCTTGCATAAGAGCCTTAAAAAAAAAAAAAAAAAAAAAACTCTTTATTTTTATTTTTCGTTTTTTTTTTGCCTGATTGTTTTTTTTATATTTGTGTTATGAACCTGCATAGTTTGTTTGCAAAAGTTTCAACAACATTGTTTGTAGCGACGCGGCGAAAAAACCCGAATTTTTAGCCTTCCATTAATCACTACTGACACACACACACACACACACAATTCTTATGAGGAAAACGTTTATAAGGATGTCATACATCTCAGATTCTACAAAATGGTAAAAAGTTACTAAAAACATATATAGCATAACTCAAAGCTATTAAAAAATTGGATTTAAAATATTTAAGTAATGAAATAAAAATGCATATTTCAAGGGTTATTATTAAATCATTGTTTGGCAATAATATGAATTGAACACCTTTGATCCTCATTCAGTTGTATTATGTGAATCTTACATTTCCCTTAGAAATGTCTGAAAAATTATCAACGTGGTTATCTAATTCCTTACATTTTGTTTCGACGCTCCTCAAACATCAATAACCATAATTTCCTCGATTGATTTGACAAGATACTCAAAGGTCTCATATAAATTTATAGAAGGAAATAAGTTTTATGAAACCCCAACCCCCAATGAGGTGACATAAAGTTTTGAGGTAACCACTTCCTGGGAACTCATTAACCATTGTGAAAACGATAACCCATTTCGCCTTTAAAGGGACTCTTACTAACTATCTTGGTTAATAAAAAACGTTTACACGAATATAAAATTTATGCATGTTGTTGTAGAAATGTAGAAAATTGCGCCAAATTTTAAAATTTTATGAAGGAATACATAAGTTACTATTATAAGTTGTAAAATGATGAGAATATGGGGTCCTCGTTAACCATATACATCTCTCCTCTACTCGAATAAACACATTTTCAGAGGAAGGGAAATTATTAGGGTTCGAAAAACACCCCTCCCCCCCTACCCCCCCAAAAAAAAAGACGAAAAAACCGTTAGAATAAAAATATATTTTTTTCACTCGGTTGAACTTGAATGTCAATGCGATGTCTGAGCAAATAGCTTTAAATTTAAAAATGGTATTTTATCCAAATTTTTATATTTGACATAATTATGATATCTGTTACCATAACAGAGTCAGTCTAAAGTCAATAAGTATATGCGTCTTTGCTCGACATTTTGAGGAGGGTTCCTTGGCCAATAGGGAAAAGGCATACGGGTAGGAAAAGTTAACTAGTATACACGAGAGACGTCGCGATGTGTTTTAAGATGATTATAGTCAGTAATAATACCCTCCGAACGAGAAGGTTAAAAAGTTAGTTAAAATAAAATTAATAAATTACGAGGGTCATTCGAAAACGATGACGAGTGTGTAAAATTAGAGGTTGGTATGCCGAGGTGCCTTGAATATGGCGACAAAACTAAAATTATCCTAAGTCTCCTTTAGAACAATGTTTTACCTATGTTTTTATATTTGACATAATTATGATATTTGTTACCATAACAGAGTCGGTCTAAAGTCAATAAGTATATGCGTCTTTGCCCGACATTTTGAAGGGAGTTCCTTGATCCATACGGCAGAAGCACATGGGTAAGAAAATTTGATTAGTATATACGTGAGACGTTGCGATGCATTTTAAGATCGTTATAGTTCGTAACTTAGTTGTAATACCCTCCGAACGAAAAAGTTAAAAAGTTAGTCAAAATAAATTACTAGGGTCATTCGAAGACAACGACGAGTATGTAAAATTAGAGGTTGGTACGCCAAGGTGCCTTGAACATGGCGACAAAACTAAAATTACTATAAGTTCCGACTATATGTCTGGGCCAATTAAAAGGTTTGATCATTGGATCCGTCGAGCTTTGGGGACGAAGCATGATAAAATAAGGAATTGGTAAAAACTCCTTGACTGTAAAGGTTGAGGGGTCGTTTGAGTGGAATAAATTATCGGCTTATGAGCAAATTCGGGGATTTAGAGCCCAGTTTGCCACATGCTAAGATATAGTTTAGATTATTACATACCCCGACAATATAATCGAGGCAAATACTAGTGATTGTCGCATCGAACAACCTTTTATTGGCGGGACCAAGATTGCACCCCTGCCGATCACTTATGCCGACCGCCAACCGTATTGCAACCGACCAGTAGGGCAGACCGGTCGACGGTCCGTCGACCAGTTAAAAAACGGTCATCTGCTGATTGTTTTTTTAAATACGAGTTCGAGGTTGTACTGCGCTTGCTAAGTACAACCCAAATTCGCTGAGAAACTTTGATATCTGTGGGTTTTTTTTTTGACTGGGGAGGTTCTGGAGGAGGGGATGGGAGTCTATGGGGGGGGTGGGGGAAGGTCCTGGGGGTGCCTGTTTCATGGTTATGAAGGGTTGTTCGAGGGCTCAGTGGGGGTTGAAGCAGGTAAACGTTTCACTGCATATTTCAACATTTTGCATTATTGTTTGAGGGCAAGGGTGTTGGGGATTCTGTTGGTGGATGATCATCGATATTAATACAGGCTCATATAGCCTTATACACGTTTCAATCAATAGCAGCACAAAATCAAAGATGGGAAAAAAAAAGAAAAAAAAAAGAAGAAGAAGACACGAGTCCACACAATCGACGCTGCAATTGCAGAAAAGCAACACTTATTACACTTCATTATAGTCTAACTGTCTCGTACGTCCGTGAAGTCAACTTAAACGAAGCCCACCCTAGACATGGAGGAAACAGACGAGGAGAAAGAAGAAGTGCATGATGAAGAAGAGGAGGAGGAAGTAGTAGCAGTAGCAGTAGAAGAAGACGGTGTCTCTCTCTCTTTTTTTTTTTTTTTTTCTCTCTCTCTCTCTCTCTCTCTCTCTCTCTCTCTCTCTCTTTGTGTGTATGTGTGTGTGTGTACTGCTATTGGTGTCGATCGATGGTGACATATCAGTCGATGACGACACGTCAGACGATGACCTTGCCGACAATTCTTTTTCGTCTGTGAAAGACGAAGGGCTGCTGCTACTAGACTCATCGTCCTCTTGCACTTGCTTCCTCTTCTTCTTCGGATGTTTTTTTGGCGATTCCGGGGCTGCAGTGACTTTCTTTGAACTTTTCGTGCCTTCCTCTTCTTCGCCTGCCGAATAACAACATGCTTCTCTTTCAAGGTCGTCGGCGGTGCGACTTTCTTGCATCCCTTGCCTCTTCCGCCTCTTACCGCCGGTGCCGCCGGTGCCGTTGACTCCTCACTTGGCGCACCTTGTTGGCGTCAATTTCGGGTGGCGACACTGATGCATGTCATGCAGCTACATGTTGTGGTGGGTCAGGTCCTCCAACCTCAACAACTCGGGTCCTCCTCCTGTAGACCATGCCCTATGATCCTTCTCTGGCCTCTGTTGGAATGTCCTCGCTCAATTGTAGACCGGGTGGGGTTGGTCCAGTGAATCTGGCCCAATCAGAAGTCGGTTACTCGAAATCAATCCAAATGGGGGACATCGCAAACAGGTGTTTATGGAAGTCCTTGTTTGGAGCCGCTCGCTGCAATGGGGGCCATGTGGTGCAATAGGGAGGCGAACCCCTCCCCCATCCCCAACCCCGGGTCAGGAGTGGAGAATACATCATCGCTTGCAGCCTCGGTGTCCTCCGCAGTTCCAGGACCCGGTCGTCTATATCCGCACCGATGTCTCCGTCCGCATGTTCTGCAGTGCCACGAACCTGAACATCCACACACACATCGAAGTCTGCATCAACCTCCACGGCACCATTATCCCCTTGAACGTTCACCAATTCCCCGTTTTTCATCCTGCAACCCGTAGGTATCTCCTCGAGCACAACTCGTCGATGAGGGGTGAGTTGTGCGCCCAATAGTGTGTTGGTGCCCTGCACTGAAGCCACACCACCTGACGCGGAACTCCGTCGTCGTGTACGAACAACAGCGTCATCGGCCAATGCCACTGAAGCAGTTGCCAAAGGCCTATCGGATGCAAGGACCGTCCGTGGCGTGATGTCATCGTGTCTAGTGGAACATGAGCTGCCGCTTGAGCACCTGGTGGACCGAATGTTTGTGAGCCGTACTTCGAGTAGCTCAGTGTCACCCTCGCTGACGTGGCTCTCCTTCACGTTGTGATCATCGACAACAATGCTCTTCCTGCGGTCATCGTCCGCGAGACGGCGAGGGCGGTAGGAAAGATAAAGGAGCCATGCCCCGTCGTCCACCCTCTCCTCCTGAAGCTCATGAACGTTGAATTTGGTACCCTTCAATCTGCGGTCGCGAGATTTGGACCAATTAGCGGCCCTCCTCTTCACCTCCACGGTGTCGTACTCTCTGTCTCGCATGAAACCATCAAAGGACGCCTCGTCCTCTGGTGTCTCGCACTCGAGGCCCTCAGTGCTAACGAATCCATCTTCACCCTTGACATGCGCAGTAACTTCTTGTTCCAATGGATAAAGACAAGCATCTGCAGGTTATCCAGGCTCAACAAATTTCTCCTCTTCGTGTGAACGAGGTCGAACATGGACCAATTCCTCTCACATGGAGAGGTTGTGGTCCACATGCTGAGCACTTTGACTGTGATCTTTGTCAGGGTTGGGTGCTTCTTCCTATAACTCAACCACAACTGTGCCATAGACACATGCTCGTTTGTCAAAGCCTCCTTAGAGTTTTTGCCATTCCCCTCCGGATCCATGTAATGAAAACTCTTAAGAGAGTTTCAACATTCTTTGTACTCCGTTAAATTTTTCAGGTGAACCAAAGCAAAGTGAGTCAAAGTGTTTGTGATCTCCTCGGACGCCAAATCGTCAAATAGTCGAGCTGATCGGTGGAGCGGGTGCAACATCCATGTCGCTGCATGCACGGGGAGAGCCATCATCCAGACACGGTCTTTCACCTTCGTCATCACGAACTCCCTTGTCTCGCAATCCATAGGCAGCACGACCATTCTCTTTTCCAACGTGATCCTCAAAGACCACACCTGCAGACCCATCCTCCCATGTCTGTCCATGATCTTCATCAGGGCATAAAGAATATCGAGCAAGGTACATGGCAAATCCCATTGCCCGCTGCACAGTTAACCACCAAGCTGGGTCTCATATGACCTCCTTGCACGATCAAGCCCGTGTCGCCATGGTTCGATCCTATAGAGAGTCATCCCACCGGGGGTTGGAAACAGTCGATAGCAATACCCCTTCGCACTCCCGAAGTCGCTGCAACATGAGGAAGTTTGTGTTGAATCTAGTCTCCCTTGGTTGGATGAACTCCAACAACCTCCCATTTTTGGTACCCAACTGTGTTCTGTACTCCCTCCCAGTCCTCCGGAACATTGCTAATGACCGCTGATGTCTCTTGATGAAAGTTGTGATTTCCCTGCCCTGCAGAATCACCTCCCCAATCCATGACACCGAAGCAATGTCACACATGAGCAAGTTGCATACATGGCATTCGCACGACACCCATGGAATGCTGCTGATTGCAGGGTCCTCGTGCTCAACCAATATCTTTCTGGCAGAAATGTTAACCTGCGCTGAGTCGGTGCAGATAACGTTCACCCTATGCACCCCACAACTCGCTTATGACCTCCTCCCACATCCTTGCCAAAGCTGGCGCCGACTTATCCTTCCCCTCCATGTCCACGCTCCTCTCCATGACAGCCCCTGAATCGCGGACTGCAAGGAAGTTGATGACCAGCTTGTTGTTGGTCATCGTTGTATCGTATGTCTTCAAGGTTAAGCCTGTGACATCCCACGACTCACGAATCTTATCCAAATCGTGATCCACGACTTTGTACTCCGTGGGCAGGGCCTTCGTCCTCAAGTACCTGTATCCTGGCAATCGCAACATCTTCCTTGATCTAGCCGCCAGGTTCATGATCCTTTCCATGTTTTTATGCGAGTCGAATCTCGCAGCCTTGAAGGCGATGGTATTCTCAAAGAGGAAAAAGGCGACCATCTGGTCAAACTCTTTCTGTAGCTCATCTACTATGAAATTGTTCATTAACGCCTGCTATCCAGCGGATAGAGGTCGAAGAGGCCGAGCGGTGGCTAGAACGGGACCCCGCAGGTGCTCAGCAATCTCCGATTGGAGTTCAGCCCCTCTGGAAGTCGGAGCAGCCATGTCGACAAAAGATGTCGAGTCAAAACCAACACCACTGCCTTCTCACGCCGTTAAACTTGTGTCACACCTGCCATCTCCCCCTGCCGACGATGTACCGGGCTTCGTCGATCCACCGGCTTGATCACTCGAAGCAAGATCCTGTGGATCTTCCACGACCGGCGGATGGCCCAAGTTGTTCCTTGTAGTACTCGTTTGATTTTTCAACGATTGCAGAGGGGATTGGCACCTTCGGGTGGTTCCTCCGGATCAAAGCAAGAATCTCTCCAGTGGTATGTGGACAGCGGGCAGTGAGCGACGGTTCGGTGTAGTGGTTCACCACTCTGCTAAACGTGTCAATGAACTCTTTGTTGCACATTCCACAACGCAACCTCCACGAGTCGTGCAAAGTGCCACTCGTCACCCTCTGCCCTCGATCCGCCCATCTCCAAAGCTCTAACAAGCCGAGCGTCCTTTCTCTCTCTTCACTAGTCTCAGTCTCAAATGGTCCTCGACTTCTCGCCATGGTTGTCATAGTGCACGTAGGTGGTTGGTAGGAAGAAAAAGAAGAAGAAGAAGTGGTGAGAGGTGTGTACCGACTGCCCGGAGATTTTTTGAATATTAAAAAAAGAAAAGTGGAGATGGGTGATGGAAGGAGGAGAAAGAAGAGAAGAAGAAGAAGAAGAAGAAGAAGAAGAAGAGGAAGAAGAAGAAGTAAAAGATGGTGAAGAAGAAAAACAATAAGTAAAAGTTGGTGAAGAAGAAGAAGAAAAATAAGTAAAAGATGGTGAAGAAGAAGAAGAAGAGGAAGAAGATGAAGAGAAGATGGAGAAAACAAAGAAAAAGAAGAG